GGTTGCCTATTTATGACAGAGGTGAGGAGTAATTTTTTTTTCCTCTCAAAGCATAACAAATCTGTGGAACTTTTAACCATAGAGAATTGACGAGGTTGGGTCATTAAGTTTATTTGAGGCTGTGATAGACAGATTTTTAACCAGAAAGAGAGCCAAGAGTTATAGCAATGAGGCTGGGAAGTAGAATTGAGAATTATCAGATAAACCACAATCTCACTGAATGACAGGTCAGAATTGACAGGCTGAATGGCCTATCTCTGGTTCTACACCTTAGGACAGGAAGCAGCATCGTTCAACAATTGAGGTATTCCTCACATTCATAACTGCACAGTTAGTTCTTCAATCACCCACATTTTCTTTGTGCATAATAAAAACCGAAAGAACTGCGGATGCTGTAAATCAGGAATAAAAACAAAGTTGCTGGAGAAGCTCAGCGGGTCTGGCAGCATCTGTGAAGGAAAAAAACAGAGTTAACGTTTCGGGACCCTTCCTCGGGTCATTGGAGCCGAAACGTTAGCTCTGTTTTTTGCCTTCACAGATGCTGCCAGACCTGTTGAGCTCCTCCAGCAACTTTGTTTTTATTTTCTTTATGCATGTTTTCTGCCAGCTGTGTATGGAGTAATTAAATCTCATTTTCAGCACCTGAACAGGGACTAACCTGATTACAGAGTACAGTACAGGAAAGGTGAGGACTGCTGGGGAGTGGGGGGCGCGGGGGCTGGTAGTGATGGGGGGATATCAGCTGTACGAATGGATGAACATTGTGATGCTAATGCATTCAAGGAGCTGAGTGTGATTATGGCTTTAATCCTAATAGATGCTCATTTTACTGAAATGAAAACCTCTACCTATAAGCAACAGCGAAGGGCTGGGGATGGACGGAGCGGTGAGAGAGGGTGATGAGGTGGTCCAGAAGAAGAGGGATGTCATCTTGGAGAAGTGCTACACTGGGGGAGGAGAGAAGAGGTAAGGGAGTGATGAGTGATTGATAATAACCACAGGCATATTGGTTTTCAGCAAGTTAAATGTAAAGTTTAGCTTTCTTATTTTTATTCACTCAAGATGTGCACATCACTGACCAGAACATCATTTATTACCCATTCCTAATTGCCCTGAAGGCAAATAAGTGTCAGCCATATTGCTTTGCACATAGGCCAGACCAAGTAAAGATGGCAGTTTCCTTCCCTAAGTTAGTGAACTAGATGGTTTTTTCTGACAATCGACGGTGATTTCTTGGTCATCGTTAGACTCCTAATTCCAGATTTTTATTGAATTCAAAGTCCGTCATCTGCCAGGTCCCCAGAAATTTACTTGGGTCTCTGAGTTAACATTCTAGCGATAATACCACTCCCCAGAGAGCCCAAAGGTGTGCAGATTAGGTGGACTAGCCATAAGGGACGCATGGTTACAAGGATAGGTTGGGGAGCTCTTTGGAGGGTTAGTATGGACTCAAATGGACAAAATGGCCTGCTTCCTCACTGTAGGAATTCTATGATTCTACGAGAGCGGGAACAGGGTACTGAGTTGGATGATCAGCCATGGTCATACTGAATGGTGGAGCTGGCTCGAAGGGCTGAATGGCCTTCTCCTGCTCCTATTTTCTCTGTTTCGTTGACGAGAGGGACTCCTCCTAAAGGGTCCAAATTTAGCCTTGGCCTCACAAGCAGACAAAGATCATCTCACCCAGTACAGATTCATTGACATGCCTCTGAGAGATTCTGATATTCTAACCATCCTGAATCCGTGGATGTTGAGCAGATTCTGCTGCTAGTGGCAGCATTTCCGTGACTTTTTGAGTTTATTTATTGACCTTTTTTTGAGCCTTCCGTAAGAAGTGAAGATGGAATCAGAATGCAGATCCTTTATATTTGTAGCCATGAGTGACTTTGTGCTCACGGTATAAGCCGTGGCTCTGCCACATGACATCCTGGCTGAGACTTCTGGTTTGACCCCAAACCCACAACGTTCTCCCACCTTCACGCTGCCAATGACCAAACTGTGGCCACCTCCCCCCACCCCCAAAATGGAGATCAATCGGCAATCTGCGCTTTATTCAACCACAAGAGACAGCAGGACCCTCCAGGCTGCACACCTTTTGTTCCCACACCCCACCCAAACAATGGAAAATCCAGGCCAAACTCTGCTCGCTTGCCTACCATGCCTCTTCACGGCACTTCTACACAAGCCTTCAGGACTCAGAAGCCCTCTGTGGGGTCAAGTCCGACCGCGCCACAGGATGAGCGGTGAAGAAAGACAACAAGGCAGCTTCTGTTAATTGTACCACAGGGACATAAATGGACACATCAACAACTTTTCCCTGTCCCAGCAAAGCAGTGAGAAGGAAAGGCAACTTCGGAGAGAATTTTTTTTAAAACGATGTGATAAACGCAATGAACTCTGGAGTGACTGAATAGTTATTTTTGGAGACAAAGCTGGTATCCACATAGCAACAATCCTAGATCTTGCCTGCCAAGAGCTGAAGAGTGATCAGTAACACCTGGGTGCGGCTTGATCTGTGACTTGTTTGAACAAGTCTCTTTGCAAAACATTGGTATCTCTCCCCGCAGACTGAACACTTGACTTAACAGCAAGATTGCTTTAAAAAGAAACACCCTAATCGTCCAGGAGGTACTTTCTGTGCCATGGTAACATTTGACAGATTGGTGTAAATTGCTAATCAGATTGATATTTGGGAGTATTACATTCACGTTAAAAAGAAATCCAATTTTAGTTTGTTGGCATGAGGATCTTTTAAACACAATGAGCAGATCTCATCCTGTGAAAGATACCCGAGTAATATCCAAAAAGAGACAAGCTCGCTGACTTTTCATCATTCACTGTCACCTGCAGAAAGATTCCCCAGGCAAATGAGGAAAATATGTTGGCCAGATCCATGTCTGTGCGTATTGACCAAGCAGCACTTGTTCCTACAGTGGATATTACGGCCAAAAATCATCAAAGGTCTGTAGCCCCAGGCAGTCATACCTTTGCAGGAAATTCTGAGCTGCAAGCTATTCACCTGCTTTAAAAAAACAACCAACTGGCTGGCGTATGTCAAAAAAGTGGTTTTATAGAAAAGACTAAAGCTTTGTCTGGGGGGGAAGACGATGGCCTAGTGGTATAATCACTCGACTATTTATTGAGAGACCCAGGTATCATCCTGGGGACCTGGGTTCGAATCCTACTATGGCAGATGGTGGAATTTAAATTAATTTCCAATCTTAAAAAATCTCAAATTAATGGTGACCATGGATCCATTGTCGATTGTCAGAAAACCTCATCTGGTTCACTAATGTCTTTTAAGGAAGGAAACTGCTATCCTTACCGGGTTTGGCCTACTTGTGACTCCAGACAAACAGGCAATGTGCTTGACTCTTAACTGCCCTCTGGGTAGTTAGGGACAGGCAATAAATGCTAGCCTAGCCAGAGATGCCTATTTCCATGACTGAATAAAAGAAATCCATAAAAAAAACTGGTACAAAGTTTGTATGGTATTCGTTAGATTTCATGGTCATTTTATTTCAGGGGTCAGTAAACAAATAATCAGATTAATCAAACTCAATTTTACAACAGAATTTCTGTTAATACTTGAATGGCTAGTACCACCATAATGAAGCCAGTACCAAATAACTCATAACTATTGAATACTAGAAGTTCATACAAGGTACAATGTGACAGATATCCTGGAATCCAGGGTATTCGTTGGTTGAATCTGTTACAGTAATTTTAATTAACCTGTTCAGATATTATCTGGGGCAAGTCAGACTTGAACTAGGGCCTCCTGGTTCAGAGGTAGGGAAATGTGCCATAAGAGCCCTCTCTGAAATCCAGGGATTTTATTGAATTCAAATTTCAGCATCTGCCTTGGTGGGATTTGAAGTTATGTCCACAGAACATTAACCTTGGGTTCTGAATTACTAATGTAGTTACAACACCATTACGCTATCACCAACTCCCTGGAATACAGGGAGATACATCCGAAACATTACTATTTGTAACTGGAGAAAGTGTGACTTGAACACAGGCCCCCTGGCCCAGAGGTAGGGACACTACCTACTGTGCTACAAGAGCAGTCTGGATACCAAGGACTATCGACCAATAAACAGCCTACACTTGGAAAGAGAAAATTAAGACAGAAAGAGATAGGGGAGGGCATTATGCCAGGAAATAGTAACAAAAAGGGGCGGCACGGTGGCTCAGTGGTTAGCACTGCTGCCTCACAGCACCAGGGACCTGGGCTCGATTCCACCCTCAGTCTGTGTGCAGTTTGCACATTCTCCACGTGTCTGCGTGGGTTTCCTCCGGGTGCTCCGGTTTCCTCCCACAATCCAAAGATGTGCAGGCTAGGTGGATTGGCCATGCTAAATTACCCATAGTGTTCAGGGATGTGTAGATTGGGTGGGTTATAGGGGGATGAGTCTGGGTGGGATGCTCTGAGAATTCGTGTGGACTTGTTGGGCCGAAGGGTCTGTTTCCACGCTGTAGGGATTCTATTCTAAAAATGTGACAACAACAATAATGACTTGCAAGTAAGTAACTTAATTAAAAGTACCTTTAAGTTACTAAAGCAAATCAATGTGCTCTGAAGATCTAAATTTAAACTGGAGAGATGAAAGAGTATGTGCATTTGATTCCAGTATTTAAAAATCATGAAAGAAATTGGTGAGGCATGTTATGGGTAATTCTGACCTGATAACTTAAGGGCTCATAATAATTACTAGTTCACCAAATAGTCACAGCAATTGCTAAACTAGTTCAAGTATTCAAATAACTAATGGGCACATTCCAAATTCAGTAAAAGGAAGCTGGCTGGATGTTGAGAAAGTAATGAGAATTAAGTAAGTGCTTAAATAACAGTGGTCTGCCAAAACGGAACGGTTTTATCTAAACAACCAGTCTACCATTTTGGTCCATTACCTCATCAGAAGACTCTCTTCTGTTTAACCAAAGATGGACCTGAGCTATCTACAGATTCAAATGGTGTTTTTTTAGATACTTACTCATTCCTGGAGCGGCCATGGTAACTCTAGAGATTACCACTTGTGTGATACCCTTTACGGCAGCAGTCTAAAACACAACAAGACATAGATGCGTCAGCAATGGAGAAATCAAACAACAGGCCTGTCTCCTACTTTGTAATCTCTATTAAGATCATATAAAAACACACAGAGAAAGGTTATTTCCTAGTGAATAAACATGCTAGATTGTCAACTCTGATGGGAGGCTTATGACAATGGTGAAATCTAACATACATCCAACATCTCTGAACACTGGTGTTTATTTGCTTAACTTAACTTAAGGAAGCAATTTATAGCTGGTGTATACACATTTGAATAGCTGCTAACAAAACGAAGCTGAGCCTTTGGGAGAGGCTCGTCCATTCTGTCATGTTAGAAAGAACAAAAGTTCTTAACAAACTACTGCACAGTTCTGTTAACACATGCTCGCTTGTGCATCGTCCAACAACAAATGGAGCAGGAAAAATCTGGGAGGATTTGCGTTTGATCCATGGTCTGTATTGAGTTTGTTAATCTCAGGGCAAAGCTAAATTTTTGGTTCTAGAATTAACTTCCATTTCCCACACCCACTCTCCACTCTCTCTCCTACTGGGTTTGAGAGAAGGGAATACACAACCAGACTGAATTTCTGTCTTTACCACCTCCCCAAAGTGCAAATGGATGGTGGAGGTGGAGATGAGACAGACAAGTGGGCCACCTTGCTCTTCCATATCAGACCAACAAAATGCTTAAATAAAAACACCAAAATTCTGCCTTCTTTTCCTGAAGGTGTAGACTCAAGCTGCGATAGATTTCTATGTCTGTGAGATGTCATCTGTTAACCTCACCCACATGGGTATTCTTCATAATCGAGGTTACACAGTTGTCAGGTCAGACTAACCTATTCATGCTCAGCCACGATTACAAATGGACTACAATGGCTAATTTTTCTTCTGTCTGTCAAAAGTGCTACTGACAGAACTCTACTGCGATGCATATACCTGAAGAGTTTGATGATTCCAGCCAAGTCCAGGTGATTCAAGGAAGAAGAATACAAATTAAACATATACAGTTTTAAAGGGGGTACGGGGTAGGAGATTTGGGGATATATATTTGCAGATTAATGAAGGGTGCAGGGCAGGTTGAAAAAGTGATGAAGAAAACATATGACCCTGTGTCTTATTAATAGGCTCAAAGGCAAGGAAGTCATGGTGAATGTTTATAAAAGACTGCTTTGATCTCAACTGGAGCTCAGTGTCCTAATCTGGGTACCAAACGTAAGGAAAGTTGTGAAGACTTCAGGAAAGATTCACAAGAATGATTCCAGGGACGAGGAGTTTGCTTCTTGGGGATACATAACTTAAAACATTGCCAAAAGGAGACAGGTAGGCAAAGCTTTGATTCTTGAACATGTCAGAACTCATCAGGGTGCAAGAAATAGACTTCAAGTAAAAAGGGTTGCCATTTTAAACAGTATGAGAAGAGGATGCTGATTGGTTGAGCCATGTGGTCAATATGAAAAGCTGCAACTTCTGGTCTTCTTTTAGCAATGTTTACTTTCAGTTTTATCAATAGATTGGAGAAGCTGTAGGTGGTGTCCTTGGCAAAGAGATAATTAAGAGGAGAATTGATAGAGGTGTTCAAAGTTATGAACAGTATGAACAGCGATAGAGAGAGAGACACTGTGTCAATTAGCAGAGGGATCGTGCCACAAAGAAAGTTGATGTAAAGTGACTAGTGAAGGAAACAACAGCAACATGAGGAAATATTTTTTCTTATGCAATGAGTCTCTGGAATGCACAGGCTACAGATTCAATGGTGGCCTTTAAAGAGAATTGGATTATTATCTGAAGAGAGAATATTTGTTGAGTTACAGTGAATGACAGGGAAGTAGGACAAAGTAAGTTGCTCTTGCACAGAGTTGACAAGCCTATTGGCCTCCTCATCAGCTCTAACCAAACTAAAGCTTCTATTAAATCAGAGATAGTAGGAACTGTAG